CACACTACCACATAAACAAATTTCAAGTAAACAATGAGGGAGATGACTTGAGTGACTCTCCTTGAATGCAGAACAATTGCTGCAGCTTTGATTATATGGAGACTTGTTTCCTTATACTGATATGTACAGAGCTGACTATGGTATTTACTTTTCTCTTCAATTGGCTTTAAGCACTGCAAATAAGGCTAGGTACTGATATATAATCTCTAAAGCCATCAGAAAGTCTCCTGTTTCTTCGCCTAGTGCTCTCTCTAAAATATATAAGCATAGCGGGATGGTAGAGTCAGTCAGCTCCAGGAATGTCAACTGGATATGAGCCTCAAGGTAAAGAGGCTATGACTCCCCAGGGCACAACAGCCTAAAAAGACAAAAAAAAAAAAAAAAAAAAAACAATTCAGTTGCTACCTTACTTGAATTATGCAAATTGACCCTTCGGAATACCCTTATCTCTGCATTTTGCAGAGATGCTTTTCTCCTTACCTGGCCAGCCAGCTCAAGTTACGTAATTCCCCGCCATCCTCACTGTCACTCATCCCTGAGTCACACCCTTTCTTCACAAGATGATAAATTCTGGGAGAGGCCCAGGATCAGGGCCTTTGTCTGCGCATCCTCACAAGGATTGGACATAGACCTCCTTTGTTACCCTTAACTGAACATGTCTAAGAACTGAATATGTCTAAGAATAAGTCTTGGTGACTTTACTCTCACTGTGGGTTGCCCTGGAGGTGGTAGATTGGAATTAACTTGCTGAGATTCCAATAACATCTCAATGGGATTACAAATATAACTTTTTGGATTGTGAAGAAAACTGGAAAAGGGGTTACAATACTTGGATAACTGTACACAATATTTGGGATTACAATAAACAACATAAAAATTTTAATACTAATAAATCCCACAAAGTAGTTAAAATTCAAATTAAATCAGGTGTCCTGATGGGGATGGGGCTGGGCTTTGGTTTTGTTTCTAAATATGACTACCTTGGTTAATTTGGGACATGATGACTTTGTGGTTCCTCCTAAGGCGCTATGGAGAAAGGTTGATTAATATTTGCATACATAAAAGCAGAGTTTAGTAGGGTGTGGTGGCACACGTGCCTATAATCCCAGCACTCAGGAGGCTGAAGCAAGAGGATCCCTGCAAATTCAAGGCCAGCCTGGGCTACATAGTAAGTTCAAATCCAGCTTGAACTGTATAGCCAGAATAAATAAATAAAATAAATAAAAATAAAATAGAGTTGAGGGGAAACAGCCTGGGCTGGGACAAGTCTGCGGGAAGTGTCAAGCTGATCATGACTTCTCAAGCCCTCACAGGAAAATGAGGACATAAACCAGAGAGAGAGACACGAGTTGAGCCCAGGCCTGGCACCCTAAAACTCAGAAGTCAGGCAGATCTGGAGGATCCAGCAAAGGAGACTGAGTAAGAAAGTCTGGAGAGGAAGGAGAAAAGCCAGGAGAAGGAGATGCCTCCTGGAGGCCAAATGAGCCAAGCTTTTCAAGGAAAGAGAGCTCAACTTCATACACTGCTGCTGAGAGTTCAGAGGAAGATGAGGACTGAATCTTGGCAGAGGGATTTAGCCCTGGGGGCTCCACAAGAGCAGTTTTAGTGTAAAGTGAGAAGCAATTGCCTGAATAGAATACTTCAAGAGAGTGTTGAAAAGGAGGGGAAGTGGAGATACGAATCACAGCCACTCTTTTTTGAGGAAACCAAAAACAAAAACACCCCACGCAGAGATAAGGGTATTCAGAAGGGTCACTCCAGCCTAGGTCACGGGACACTGCTTCCCCCTGCTCCACAGCCCCAGGCATACTTAGCAGGGCTAGAAATCCTGCATACCTCTGTATGACCTTCCTCTTGGTGGCCTCCACCTGGATGAGGAGGTCTTTAGACCCCTGCTGCAGACATGCAAACATACAAGAGCTACCATAGTTCAAGAGGGGAGACCCAGCCCAACCTGGAAATCCCCTGCTGGAGGGCTGTGCAGAGATCTAGACAGAGTGGGTGGCCTGGGAGCAAGACCAGCTCAGGCCTGGGCAAAAAAGATGCAATGGCTTTGGGCCTGCCACCCCCAGATGGCAGGTGTGGGGCCGGAGGGGAATGGAGGTGGCAGAGGAAGCTGCCAAATCCTGGTACAATCCTTACTTGCCCTGAGGCAGGAGGACAGCCAAGATGGCCTCCCACACCTCCACTCAAGGAGCAGAAATGTTAGGTGGGGCAGCAAGATCCCTGAAGCCTCTCTGTCAGAATGGAAAACTCTCCCAGTTAATTCCCAAGAGAAACAAGGTGAGTCCTTGGGGCAGGAGACGGGCAGGGATCTTGCCTGATGCCAGGAGGAAGGAGCAGAAAGATAGGACCCATGTGACAAAGTCACCTGGTCCCGAAGCAGGGTAACTGCACACATGTGCCACCAACAATCTCCAAACCACACCTCCATCATGACAGCCATGCACATGCACAGCCACACACTCCAAAACACCTACACATGCTATGTGCTGCCCACTGAAATACACAATCACCTGGTGTCTGTCTCTGTCTCTCAACACACACACACACACACACACACACACACACAGAGTGTGGCCAGGGAAATAGCTCAGGGCCATGATGGTGAGCTGCTATCCTTGGCAGTAATCTCTGAGAAGGCTACAAAACCTGATAGCTTAGGAAGTGGACAGAAGAGTCTTGAGGTGGGGTTCAGGGAATGCCTTCATAAGAAGGAGAGCCCTGAGTAAGGGGGAACCTGCCCTGTGAAGGGTCAGGACAGCCCTGAGGCTATCCAGGCAGAGGGAATAGCAAACCCGAAGGTCAAAAAGCAATTCGAGGGGCACTGGATAGTAATCACAGGCATGGATGCAGGTTAGGAAGTGAGGCAGGACTGAGTCACTGCTGCCTCCTAGGCCAACCTCAAGAGAGCAAATATTAGCCTAATGGATGACAAGTAACCACAAGGCTTTAATCAGGGAATGCCATGATCTGATTTATGCCCTTTAAATACTGTTCTAACAAGAAGAAACCAAGAGAGTAAGTTTTATCTCAATTCACAGAGTGGTAAAGGAATTTCTAATTATGACCAAACCTAGAAGCAATAAACAGTAGGATTAATACATTTGACTACATAAAAATGTTTTAAATCTGTATGGCCAAAATTCCATATACAAAGTAAAAAATGCAAGCGTCAAACAGGAGAGGGGCTCTATTTGTATCACAGAGAGTTTTTCTTTTTTTCTTTTCTTTCCTTCTTTTTTTTTTTTGAGACAGGGTCTCGCTATGCAGTTCAGGCTGGCCTTGAGCTCATTTTGTAGCCCAGGCTGGTCTTGAATTCGCAATGATCCTCCTGTCTCAGCCTCCCGAGTGCTGAGATTACAGGCATGAGCCACCATGCCTGACTCGAGTTTGTTTTCTAAACATGTAAAGAGCTCCTAAGAAATCAACAATCATTTAATAGAAAAATTAGCAAAAGACAAGTTATGGGGAAAAAAAAATAAAAGTGGCTTCTAAATGTATCAAAAGATGCCCAACCTTACAATAAGAGAAATAAAAGTATAACAAGGTGCCCCTGGCAAAGATCTTAAAAATCTTATAATGCTCTGATGGTAAGGACAGGAAGAAACAAGAACTCTTATGTCACATGACAGGCCAAAGGGATATATCCATGGAGATCATTTGGCAATATCTATCAATTGTTTTTTCTTTTTGAGACAGAGTTGTACTATGTAGCCCAGACTGACCTCAGACTCACAGCAATCCTCATGCCTCAGCCTCCCAAGAGCTGGGATTACAACTGTGCACCACCACGTCCAGCTCTATTAAATTTTGAAATCAACACTTAACTTTAACCCAAAGTTCCGCTTCTAGAAATATATAGACACAAGTTTAAAATAGATTAAATAATGTTTATCAAAGTACATTAATTGCAGTGTCAGGTATCATGGGACACACCTGTAACCCCGGTTACTCGGGAAGTTGAAGCAGGAGGATCACAGGTTTGAGACCAGCATGGGCAATTTAAGAAGACCCTGTCTCAAAATAAAATTAAAAGGGCATGGGCTGTATCTTAATGCTCTCTGGCTGTCCTCTTCAGTGACTAAAAAAAGAAAAAGAGAAAACAGGAAGCAGCCGTAATGTTCATCGAATGGGATTGATTAAATACATGCTCTTTCGTTTTTTATAAAAGAGAGAGCCTTAGGGATTATAACTGCTTCTTTCAGTTGCAATAAGAAAGAATGTGAGGGACACAGCCAGGCCCAAAGTTGTCTCTGGACTAAGAATTTGCTGTGATCCTCTACAAATATGAGTCATAGGAGTCAGCCTCCCTAACTTTGAGGTCATTTCTGAAATTTTAAAAAGGTGCGTTACAGGCACAAACTGGTACAATCCTGGGCAGATGTGATGTACAGTCATCTCGGTGCTGGCAGTGTAAGTCATCAACATCCAGACGTTAGGACCCTGGTCTCCGGTGACTAAGTCTCAGGAATTCTCAGGAAGGCAGGAAGCCGCGGGGTTTCCTAGTTTCCAGCCTTGGGAACTGATAAATAAGACAGAGTGGCCTGGTCCCCTGGTCCACCCCAACCACAAGGGCCTCCATCCCCTGCAAGGGTGTCCACCTGCAGACACAACCCTGGACAGGCTCTGGCCCTCAAAACACCTCCAGGCACGGCTCCCCCTTTCTGCCCACACCCCTGTGCGTCTTTGCTGGCACAGGTCTCAGTGCCTGGTCCACTGTGGGCAGTCTGCCTCCCTCCCTCCAGGCCGCTGCTGAGGACCCCTCGATTTGGGGAGCAAAGGGACTGGCTCCCAGGAGAGTCTCTACGCAAGACAATCAAGGTCAAGGGACAGACGGGATCCCGTCTTACAGCAGGCGGGATCTCAACTGGGCGCGGACCCAGTATCCATGGTAACCAACGTGGGCGAGTCCGGATTGCAGTCCGTCCTTCGGCCCAGCATTTAACAGTTTACGAAGTTCTTCGCGCCTGTAAATTCGTCAGAGGCTTCCCCCAGCTCGACCCATGGCTGCCGCCGCCGCCGCCGTTGCAAGCCAGAGCAGCCCGAGCCCCCGCCGCGCCAGGATCCCCCGCGGAGCGGGCCCCGGGGCCACGTGGCCGCGCCGGGATTAGAACTCGCCTCTCCTCGGCCAGGCTCCTCCCTCCCTCCCCCTCCTCCCTGTCCATCCCCCCGCCGCGCCACCGCTGTGTGCTCGCCAGCGGGCTCAGGTCCTCCTCGGCTCTGCTACGAGCCCGCGTCCGGGCTGCTGCACGGCGCCGCGCCGACGGTGAGTGCGCGGGAGGGGCGCCCCGAGGGTGGGGTGCAACCTGCGTTGGGCGAGGGTTGGGGAGCGCAGGGACCCCTGGAACGCCCGGATCCACCACAGCTTACTCCACTCTGGAGTCCGGAATTCCAGCTGCTGGAAAGTTCCAGGACCTTCACTTGCCCCTATGTGGCCTAAAGGGAACCCGGGAGAGGGGTGGAGGGTGTCTGTGTTTGGGGGGCACCGTAGAGGTGAGGAGTGAGCGGACCAAGTAGGTCCAGGGGCCGGTGGCAAACGGTTGTGCTGGGAGAGGGCTTTGGGGGCAGCAGGGTGGTCGGAACCGGCTCCACCAGTCCGCAGACCAGCATTGGGAGCACATTCTTAGCCTATGAGTCTCATCCCCGGGGAGTGGCCTCCTCCATGGACTGCCAGGGGAAAGGTGGGAGCCCGGAGCAGAGCTGCACCCTGGTGAGCACCACGGGGCGTGAGAGAAAGCCTCTCCAGATCTCACCCCGCAGGGCTGGCAGGCAGGGCTGCTCAACCTCCCCACCCCGACCCGGAACCTTCCTGTGTGAGTGACCCACAAGGGAGAGAAGTCTCAGGATTCTTAGACCAGCCCAGAAAAGCAAGAATGCTTTCCTTTACAGATAAAGAAACAGGGTTAGCCTCTTGAGAGAATTCTCACCCAGCTAGTAAGCACTAAACTGAGATTCGAATCCAGGTGTGACTTGGTGTCTAGTTAACTCCAAAGGCCAGGACTTAGCAAGGGGGAGCCCTTCCCAGCCACACCGGCCTGTCCCTCCCAGACTGATTCCCAGGGGACAGGCACCAGGAGGGCTGAGATACTGAGAAGCTGTGCGTTCTCTCTCTCAGTGCAGACCATCTGGCCCTCCCAACCCCTCTCTAAGGCCCACCCTCCTTGCCATTCGGCATTGCTGTCTGCACCAGTAAGTAAGAAGCAGTGGGCAAAGGGAAGCAGATGTTCATCTCGGGGAGACAGATGATAAGACCAAAAAATGATCATTTAATTTCAAGTGGTGATTAAGGGTTACAAAGGGAAGAAAAGGGGACCAGCGCTGAGTGACTGGGGACAGGGTCCCATCTGAGATAATCTGGGGTGGCAGGGGCGTCCTAAAATGATGATCTTTGAGCAGAGTAGCCCGGGAAGATTCTGCAGAAAAGTGTTTTGGGCAGGAAGAACCAAGGCAAAGCCTGGAGGGTCCCAGAGTGACCAGAGCAGAGAGAGGTTGGGGTTCAAGTCTAGAAGGAGAGTTCTAAGGAAGGGAGTGGCACAGTCCGGTTGGATGGACTCCAGAGGCACAGGAACAATAGCTGGAAGGCCATCAAGGACCCTGTGGCAGAGGCTCAGACCAATGGAGTGGCTCTGTAGGTTGGGAGTGCCAGCAGACCCACCCCTCCACACCCTTGAAGTCAGTCCAGGGTTAGGACATGGCAGTTGAAGGGCTGGCCGCACCATAAAATCCCTGGAGCCAGCATGGTCCCCAGAAAAGCCTGCACAGGGAACAGGATTTGTCTCCACGTAGATCCTAGGCCTAGTCTATAGACCTCCTGATCTTCACCCCAGTCAGCCTTCCATCTTCACTATTTGCTGTTTGAGAGAGCTTCACAAGCCATTCTCCTTCCTCAGCCTCAGTTTCCCCTCTGTAAAATGGACTCAGACCCCATCTTCACAGGACACCACTGAAGCATCCACGAGGGAACAGTATCAAGAAGCTGGTCTGGGGGGCTGGGGATTTAGCTCAGTGGCATAAGCGCCTGCCTTGCAAGCAGGCAGTCGTGAGTTCGATCCCTGGTACCGATAAAAACGAAAAAGACCAAAAAAAAAAAAAAAAAAAAAAAAAGAAGCTGGTCTGGGGCAGGGGTGAGCAGAGAAAGGGAGGGGACACGTTAGAGAGCATGGGCCGGACATGATAGCCTGGCCTTGAATCCAGCTGTCCCCTCAAGTTAGTGACTTGATCGCCCGGAACTTCACAGTAATGAGTAGTTAACACTTGCTGAGCACTTGTTGTGTGCTGTGCGCTTTTTAGTCTTTATTTCATTTGGTTATCAGCTTCACCTGCAAATGGGACGCAGCATAGTCTCCACTTCCTGGGGACATTAGCTTTGCTGCATAAATTATCAAAAGCACATGTCCCCTTCCTCCCAGCACCTTAGCTCTGTAACTTTTTTTTTTTTTTTTTTTGGTCTTTTTCGGATCGAACTCACTCACGACTGCCTGCTTGCAAAGCAGGCGCTTATGCCGCTGAGCTAAATCCCCAGCCCCAGCTCTGTAACTTTGGTTAGGTTACATATTCTCCCTGTGCCTTGGTTTCCTACTCTCAGTATGGAAGGAACAGTAGGTAGTTCCAATCTCACAAGGGCCGTCATGATGACGATCAAGTGTATCCATGTAAAGAACTCAGGATGGGACCTAGCACACATTAAATGTTCAATGAGTGTCACCCACTCAATAGTGTAATGGTTTTCTCTCTTGCTCCCTCAGGTAGGCAAGGTCCCCGGTGCTCCCCCCAGGCACCATGGACTGGAAGACATTCCAGGCCCTTCTGAGTGGTGTGAACAAGTATTCCACAGCGTTTGGGCGCATCTGGCTGTCGGTGGTGTTCGTCTTTCGGGTCCTAGTATACGTGGTGGCTGCAGAGCGTGTGTGGGGTGACGAGCAGAAAGACTTTGACTGCAACACCAGGCAGCCAGGCTGCACCAATGTATGCTATGATGACTTCTTCCCAATCTCCAACATCCGCCTCTGGGCCCTGCAGCTGATCTTTGTCACGTGCCCCTCGTTGCTGGTTATTCTGCACGTGGCCTACCGAGAGGAGCGGGAGCGGAAACACCGTCAGAAGTACGGTGAGCAGTGCACCAAGCTGTACAGCAACACAGGCAAAAAGCATGGTGGCCTGTGGTGGACATACCTGTTCAGCCTCGTCTTCAAGCTCATCATCGAATTGCTTTTCCTCTATGTGCTGCACACTCTCTGGCATGGCTTTGGCATGCCGCGCCTGGTGCAGTGTGCCGGCGTGGCACCCTGCCCCAACACCGTGGACTGCTACATTGCACGTCCCACTGAAAAGAAGATCTTCACCTACTTCATGGTGGGCGCCTCAGCTGTCTGCATCGTGCTCACCATCTGCGAGATCTGCTACCTCATCTTCCACAGGATCATGCGAGGCCTGGGCAAGGGCAAGGTTCCAAAGGGCCACAGCACCTCCTCCTCCACCTGCCGCTGCCACCACAAGCTGGTGGAAGCCGGGGAGGTGGGTCCCGACCTAGGCGATGCCAAGCTGGAGGCTTCGGCACCCAAGCTGACCCCGATCTGATCCCGGGCTGGGAAGCTGGTGGAGAGGAGTTGCAGGACAGAGGGCTGGTGGCCCTCACTTTGAATTCACTAAGCTATCCAGTTTCATTTGTGCAGATATCTCCAGAGCTGAGTACTCTGCTGTCTGCCTGGGTGTAGGTAACACAGAAGGCCCAGTGCTTGCTCAAGGAAGAGACAGAATTTAAATAAGTAAAGTAACTGTGCCTGCGCGTGTTTGCTTGGCTGTTGCTCGGGGGCTTCTCCCCAGCCCCAGAGGATGATGGGCCAGGCTTCCCTGAGAAAAATGCTTGAGAGATAAGAAGTGCTTACCTGCTGACATAGCAGCAGCAGAGGGCCTGGGGCCACCTCCAGCACCAGGAGACCTCAGTGAGTGTGGAGGGAGGCAGCGGCTCTGGGGACCCAAGCCCCATTCAAGACACCCAGGGATCCTCTGGGTCACAACTTCCCTCAGTGACAGCTTCCCTCCCCCAGATGCGATTCCCCCAACCTCAGGCAGTGGTGCTTCAATGTTCCTCCCCACCTATGTGCTTGACCTGGTGTCCCCTGTTGCCAGGAACTTGGTGGGATGTGCCTTTCGAATCCCCCAATGACGGTTTCCTTGAAATCAATAAAGCTATGTTTTATACACATCTGGCTCTGTGTTCACTTCTCCTGTACTCACACCCACAGCTCCCTGAGGGCAGAGAAAGCAGCCCTCCCAAAATCGGGAGAGATCTGGCTAGGGGAGAGCTCGGTTGGGGCAGGGGCTAGGGTAGGGTGGAAGGCCAGAGAAACTGCCCTCACAGGCTGGGATTGTAGTTTTGGCCACAAGGGGGCGCCATGGCCTTGTAAAACAACCTCTAGCGTATTCAATTGGACTCTGCCCTGTAACTGCCTCCTCTGTCACCCAGGGGCTGCTATCACAAACCACATCTGCACCCTGTGTGTGCACAATCTCTGCTGTTCATACTTTCACTCTTTATACACACACCAGGTCAGACTGCCTGCTGTAAGGAGCACGTGCAGTCTGGACCTCAGCAGTTCCTTCCCGTCCCATTCCCTCCAGCATCCCCCACCACACACCTTGGCAGGAAGCTGGGACTGCAGGTGGAAGCAGCGCCTCCTGCACTCGCCCCACCCTCATCTCACATCGCCACTCCCCAGACTGTCAAGATCTGAAATTCTGGAGACACCAACATCTCAGACCAGACCAAAGTTGAGAAGCCAAAGGGAATGTAAGGCTACATTAGCCTACAGGAACATTCAGTGACCATCACAGACCAGGCCAGGAGCCAGAAAGTCAGGTGCTAATGAGCTGAGGCACAAAGCAAGAGGGAAAAGTTCAGGGCACTGTGTACACAGTGCATATGGCACTATGTGGATGGGTTGTGGTTCACCTTTGCTCTCACCTGTGACCACCATTACAGGAGGAGGAGCCATGCAGGTTAAAGGGCCCGAGGGCGGGGCTGACATTGTTCCCCACGCCTCACCTCAGGCAAGGTGTGGATCATCACTTGACCAGATGCAAAGCACAGCTTCACCTTGGACAAGTTTTCAGGACCTCAATCTGTCATCCTCACATTAGGAACAAATCGGGCAGGATCCCAGCAGGAAATAGACGGTACGTTCACACCAAGTGACTTAAAAGACCATTTCCTAGAGAAACTGATTTTACAGGTGGGAGCCTGATGGAGGAAACCCGCATGGGGTGCTGCAGTGCCCTGACTGGTGCGAGGGTAACAGTGGGTAGGAGCTATGGGACAGGATGCATCCCACCGCCAGCAACCAAGAAAATCCCTAATGGCACTCTCATCTCTCTTACTCACCTGCCTGTGGTGACAGCCCAGCCAAGGAGCAGAAGACAAGGAGGCCTGGTGGAAGTCAGCCTCCCAGGGTGTGACAGGGTGGAGGATAACTTTGAGGCAGAAGACCTATAATCAGTAAAGCACTCAGGACTGTTTGTACTCATGGGATTGTGGTAAGAGATCAGAGAAGACCCTGGTAAAGTGCAGGCGCTGCACCAGTGTGCCAAATAAACACCGAGTGAGTGTGCTTAGGAAAGTCTCTGCTGATGCTCAGGCTGTACCCTAGATCAGCCTGGGACTGAGCTGGATGATTACCAGGGTATTGAGGCGGTAACATGTCTACCTACTTGCAGCTATGCATTCCAGAATCTTCCTGCCAAGGGTGTTCTGGTTGTCAGAGAAATCAGCTACTACACCAGCAGGGACCCAAGGCTCAGCATGGACTGAGTTTCCAGTCCTGGCAGCATTCCTCAGGATTCAGGCCAAGACCATGGAGGACATTCCAGGCCTCTGCAGGCCGCCTTTGGCCTAAGAACTGATTGGAGCAATGCAGCTCACTGATCTCACCCAGCAGGAGGTGGGCTACTGTGTACCAAGTTCCCAGCAAATATCACTGTCACCACAAGATGGCCCTCACATCCCCTGGGCCTTAAGGCACCTCTACCTTCTGATCCTCCCCACCGCCTGAAGAGCCCCTGCAGGCCCCTTTCAATCTTCATATGAGCTTCATGTATGGTTTTCAAGTCCACATCTCCTGCACATGGTTACAGTCACCCTGCAGCTCCAGGTAAACAGGAGATCATTTATCTTCATTCTCTTAGGTCCGAACCCCTGCACGGACTGAGTTTGCATCCCCCAAAATGAAAATACTGTAAACCAGCCTCCCAATGTGATGGTATTAAGTAGTAGGGCCTTTGGGAGATAATCAGGCCATGAAGGTACTGGGAAGTCACCACTGCAAAAGGGGGCCAAGGACTGAGCAACAAAATGAGCTACAGATAGCATTGAAGCAGGACTGGTCATGAGGGAGTTCTGTGGTGCCCTTGGCCACCCCTTGACTCAATCATTGCCCAAGGTCACCCCAAGAAGGACTTGGCCACCAGGGACACCAGAAGCAGGCATGAAAGTCCTAATAGCTGCCAGCTGACCAGGTTCTGCAGTTGGGTAGCGAGCCCTGTACTGAAGGGGATGACCACATCTGCCACCCCTGCTCATAATTTATCCCCAGCACAGTGCCTCGGGGAATCCTGTCAAAATCTAAATCACTCTCTACCCACAACTCCCAAAGGCATCTTATGCAGGGCTTCAGTGCCTACAAGATCTGCCCCAACTCACACCCACCTGTCACTCTTTTCCTGAGCGCTGGCCATCTACACCCTGGGCGCAGGGTCCCTACACTAGCCACCCTGATTTCCTGGCATTCCTCAAGCAGGAAACATCTCGGTACATTCCTGCCTCAGGACCTCTGCAGACTGGGCTCCTCTGCCTAGATGCTCTGGCTCCGGAGATTCACAGGGCTTCCTCCCTTCCCTCAGGATTGCCTCAAATTAGCAGCTGCTTAATGAGAATTTCTCTTTTCCTCTCTCTAAAATTGAAACTGCCCACCACTGTACTCTTAACCTGTCTACTTCACCCCATAGCATGTGTCACTGATATGTCCTGTATTTTATTTTTAGTCTTTTTTTTTTTTTTTTTTTGCAGTACTAGGGAATTGAAGCTAGGGATACACTGTTACTACCACTCCCAGCTCTTCCCTTTAACACAGGGTCTTAATTGGGCTCCAATTTGTAATCCCCCCGCTGCAGCCACCTGAGTAAGTGGGATTATAGGCACGCACTTCTGCAACCAACACTTTTTTTTAAAATCACAATTAAAAATTTGAAAACAATCAACCAAAACAACAGTAGCTGACCTACATAGAGCAGAGCTGCAGAGGCCAGCAGGGGACTTCTGGAAGAAAGTGACATCTGAAAAGACCTGAAAGGTTCGGGAGAACCCACATGTGAGGGCGCTTCAGGCACAGGAATCCTGGGAAGCACAGGCAAGAGCACTCAGAGAACCTAGTTACATAAAGCTGATGACAGAGCGAAGGGGAATGAGAAGCGGCCACAGCCTACAGGCTGGAAACTCTGATGGCCATGAGAAGCCGCAGAAGGGTCGTCAAAAGGGCAAGGTAATAGTCGGATTTCTAGGAAAGTGTGGAGGCCGAGCGGAGGGCTGAGCCTAGAGGCCAGGTGACCATCTGGGAGGCTGTTGAGGTGGTAGCAATCTGAACAGGGCAAAGGGAAAGAGGGAGTGTGGGGTTCTAGGGGCATGTCCCCACAGAATGGGCAAGCTCCTCCCACCTCCAGAGAAGGGACCAGGTTAGTTAACCTCAGACCTGCAGCGTCCCCGAGGAAGGGGTCAGAGCAGGGTAAGGGCAGCCTTGACGTCACCCCTCGCCCTCCACCCCAAGTTGAGTGGGAAATCCCTGGGGGACCTGGGCTGGGCCACAGTGCAGAATGGAGCAGAGGCTGCTCGAGGCGTGGTGAGAGCCGGTCTCCAGGGGCCTCAGTTCCCATGCCCTTCAGGGTCAGAACTAAGAGGGCACAGTTGTGTATTCTGGAATCCCAAGAGGCCCAACTCAGCCCAGCACTGAGGGAAAAGAAATCCAGCTCAGCCTGATTCCCCACCCCACCCCAGGGACACTCATCCTGGAGTTCGGAGCCCACACATGTCCCCCCCCCCATACACACCGACCCAATGGACAGAACCTTCTGGGTCCCTGGGAGTCCAACAACTGAATCCTGTTAGTAAAAACAGGGCCAATAGCTCCAGGTCTCCACTCCCACCTGCCACCTTTTCTTTCCTTAGTTTCCCCAGCCTCCGACCAGCCCGCCGGCCTGAGTTGCTTCACTCTTTCTGGCCTGAAACCAGCCCACAGACCCTATTTGGCCCAAACGCTGTGTCAGTGCCTTTAGCAACAAACGCACCTGAAACCTTTACATACCAATATCATGCCATGTTTGATTTGCTTTCTGATCAATCTTACTATGTAGCCATTCTTATACTCATTCTGTAGAGGAAGAATTAAAGCACCTAGGTTTGAGAAACTGGCCCAAGGACACACGTGTCAACAGAATCCTCACCTTCTAGGTGGGCTTGGCTACCATTCAAGCCTCGGTGCTCGGAGGCAGTGGCCACATCTCAAGATCGACCCCCACACACACACCTTAGCTTGTGCTGCCCCTGCCAGAAGAGCTCCTCCCTTAGTCTGGCTAACAGTCTCCTTTAAGAAAACTTTCTAATCAAGCCCCATGACTCACCTGATGCTCCAGGGGAAAACTGATCATAGCATTTTACCATCACCCAAGGGCTAATCTGCTTCAATTAGAGCTGGAGCCAAAACCCAACTCTGGGTGGTATCCCTAGCGACTCACCCAATCCTCATTAATCTCATTAACTAGCCTCTCTGCTTATCCGCAGCCTATTCCTTTGCTTTCCTGGAGTGTCTCCTCCCGTTTAGAGGAAAGAGAATGAACCCAAACCAAAGGTCAGCAAGTTCCCCTCCTTGGCTTCAAGAAGTCCCAGGAAATCAGGTTTAGTAGCCTCCGACTGCGTAGCCTAACTAGCCACGGAGATGGTGGAGAATTCTGGAAGACCACCAGCCTGGTGGAGAAGTCCGGCTCCATTGCCCATGCTAGGAAGCGTGGCGCGAAATCCTCTCTCCCATGTGGGTCCCTGTCCTGATAACGCTGGCTCCCCCGTCCGGACGCGCCACCACCAGCTCGTCCCCAGCCACCCACTCCTCACAACCCCTTAGGATATCCGTCGGCTTTGCTATAATCCTTTCAAATCCAGCCACCCTGAAAGATCCTGCTCCAGTTCCGCTGCCAAGAAACTGAGGCAGGAGTTCACCGTCTGCAATAGGATGGAGAGCGAGTAAAGGGATGGGGCGTCCCAGCCCGCCAGTGCACCCCACTCCCGGTGCCACCCCCGCAGTGGGCTCGGGGAATCTGCACCTCCCGTCCCAGTCCCCGCCTCTCTCCAGCGCCCGCCTCCTCCCCCTGGCGTTTCCTGCCCCCACCCGCCCTCCTGCGTTATTTAAGGCGCCCCCCAGCCGCCTGGCGCGGTCCAGCAGGGCTAGGCGGGCGCCGCTCGGCCGTCGTCCTCACCTCCCCCGGGCCGGCCAGGCGGGCAGGCGGTGAGTGGGATGGAGGGCGGGTAGTTGCTTCAGGGTGCACACGGGGAAATGAGCCACACCGGGGACAGTGCAGTTCCCTTTTCTCTGGTGTTTACAAGAGGGGAGGCAGAGGGTCCCGAGGTTGGTCCATATCCACATGCCAGTGTGCCAGAGGGAGCCAGGGAGTTGGACCTGGTCTGGTTCCAGGTCCTGGCTCCCTGGAAGGAAGCATCTTCTCCGCTCCTCTCTCCGGACCTTCCTTCCCCTAAGTGTCGTGGGAACTTGGCGACCTGTGCCTCCACCCTGCAATGACAGTTTCTTTCAGGAGTCTAGAATTTGGCAGCAACTGCTGGGGGGCGGAGGGAGGCAGGGAGGAGTAGCAGCACCAAGTGTCCCTACTGAGGCTGCAGGTGCCATCACTGTGGACAGGTGAGGCTCATCAGGATGCTGCCTCCAACTTCTAAAATACCGAACTTCTCCCCCAGCCCCCACCACCCCTGCAGTCAGCAAGCCCGAAGTGAGGCCAGCTGGCTGAGACAGAGTGGGAACAGGGACCTGAGGCTTTGAGTCCATGAGAACCTGGAGATAACACCTCTCCTATAGCCAGCCTTGGGCAGAAGGAAAGTCATGCATAACTGTGCCCCTGGATTAGTTCCTCCAGTCCTCTGATCCCATAAGCAAAGGAGCGTCCATGCAGCCTCCAGATCCACTTGGGCTGCAGTCATCCTGGAGCTCTGGTGGGGGACAAGGGGGCACAATATGAGGTCAGACAGGCAGCCTAGCTGCCCTGTAGCCTACCACTTGGAGAAGTAAAATGAGGGTACATAAACAGCTTGGGGCCAATAGCCGAAGCTCTGCTTTGGGTCCCTGCAGAGTTTAGGTCTCCTCATAGGGGGAATGGGCATGACAGACACCCTGACACCCCACCCCCAATGTCCTCAGCCCTCAGGTTTGTTGCCAGGACAAAGTGAGAAGTGCCCTGCTGACACAACTCTGTCTCCCTGCAGAAGGAGGCCCGGGAGCCATGGGTGACTGGGGCTTCCTCGAGAAGTTGCTGGACCAGGTCCAGGAGCACTCGACCGTGGTGGGCAAGATCTGGCTGACGGTGCTCTTTATCTTCCGCATCCTCATCCTGGGCCTGGCAGGCGAGTCGGTGTGGGGCGATGAGCAGTCAGATTTTGAGTGTAACACAGCCCAGCCTGGCTGCGCCAATGTCTGCTATGATCAGGCTTTCCCCATCTCCCACATCCGATACTGGGTGCTACAGTTCCTCTTCGTCAGCACGCCCACCCTGGTCTACCTGGGCCACGTCATTTACCTGTCCCGGCGAGAGGAGCGACTGAGGCAGAAGGAGGGAGAGCTGCGGGCCCTGCCAGCCAAGGACCCACAGGTGGAGCAGGAACTGGCGGCCGTGGAACGTCAGATGGCCAAGATCTCCGTGGCAGAGGATGGTCGCCTGCGGATCCGAGGTGCACTGATGGGCACCTATGTGGCCAGTGTGCTGTGTAAGAGCTTGCTAGAGGCCGGCTTCCTCTATGGCCAGTGGCGTCTCTATGGCTGGACCATGGAGCCACTGTATGTGTGCCAGCGTGCACCCTGCCCCCACCGTGTGGACTGTTATGTCTCTCGGCCCACAGAGAAGACTATCTTTATCATCTTCATGCTGGTGGTGGGATTCATCTCTCTGGTACTCAACCTGCTGGAGCTGATGCACCTGGTGTGCCACCACCTCAGCCATCGGACGAAGGCACAGCAGGCTCAGGATGTATCGCCAGCCCGGGCCACGTTCTCAGACTCTTACCCTGACCAGGTCTTCTTCTACCTCCCTGTGGGCGAGGGGCCCTCGTCCCCACCATGCCCCACCTATACTGGGCTCTCATCCAGTGAGCAGAACTGGGCCAACCTGACCACAGAGGAGAGGCTGGCTTCTTCCAGGGGGCCCCTCTTCCTGGACCCACCCCCACAGAGTGGCTACAAATATTCTAGTCGCCCCAGTAGCTCTGCTTCTAAGAAGCAGTATGTATAGGGGCCTTAGACTTATGTCACTCAACAGAGGTGTCCTGAGAAGTTGTCTGACTGCCCCCTCCTGGAAGGTTCTGCAGAGGTAACGGGACTGAGGCCCGCTGATTGCTGACCAAACGGACCCTTGGCAGGTGGCTCTGGAACACTAAGGGCCTTCCTGGGGATCATCAGGCACTATAACTTTCTTTCCAGACAGGGTCACTCAGGTTACTCTTGACCGAGGGGTTACTGGATCTCCCATCTGATCCAGAGGGATCCCAAGCCAGCTTGCTCCCACCATTACGGAAGAGTCACCTCTGCCCAGGTTGTTCTCACATCCTCTCCTCATGGGAAAAGACTTCGGGATCAGCCTTGGTCACATAGAGCCCGTGCCAGACCCAGCCCTGTCAGAGGACTGGTGCCTTGTTTTCATGACTCCGTCCTAGTTCCATTGTTTGTGCTTCTAAAATAAACAGGACTTGATCACAAGTGAGGTGCTTATTGATGCTGCCATGTTGTCCCTCGGGGCAGTGTTGGGGAGACAGTTATTTCGTCCAGACTTCCTTCTTTTATTTCCAGTTCTGCATGGCCCATCTCTGGTCTCTGCAGCCCTAGCTTCAGCCAGCACCTTAAACCCTCAAACTCCAACGTTCTGCCTGCCAGCAGCTCTGACACCTTTTGAAATGCTTACCTGCACGTTTTCTTGCCCACCTGGGACCCTGCTAATCAACTTACTTGTTCATTAGTAGCCAAAGTAGTGTCCCTTCCCCCATGTGTCCCCTGCAACATGCTCCATTACTGGGCACTGACGAGGCCAGCAGTCCAATACAGGTACACCCCCACGTACCCTGCACCCACCCCAGCTAGCCATGGGTCCCTTGAGGTTGCAGAAAGGAGGTTTAGTTCATTTGTGCTTCCTACCTTGGACCTTGGTAGTCTGTCCACCATAAGGAGCAACTCAAGGGTCTGCATCATAGCTCCTCTCTATCCGAAACTCAAGAGGAGAACAGACAAAGGCAGTCTGGAAGGTTCGTTCTCCACACTTGCAAGGCCTGTGGTATTTGAACACTGGTGGCTCTGGCAAAAGCAGAGATATGGTACCAAAGGAAGTGCAGTGAACTCTGGCATCACAAGTCAGTCATTTCACCTCTCAGTCTGTTTCCTCATCTGTAAATGCCCACCTCACAAGTGGTAAGAAACAGACCAGTCCCTAAGCATTGCCAGGGAAACACTTTCATTCCCCAAGGCCCAGCCCAGCAGGACCTCAAGTAAAGGACTGGGTTAGACTGGACAGAAGGAAGTAGTCCACACCTTGGAAGGACAGGGCCCCGGGAGGCCGAGGCCTCCTGAGGGAGCCCCCAGGCAGTGTGAGAGCCCGGAAGTGGTGGTCTCTTGGAGTCGGTTCTCGAGGGCCCTGAGAACCTATATTTCTGGTATACTCCACCAGTCCTAGTTAGAAAGATAGAAAAGGAAAGAAGAAAGGTTTAAGTGAGAGAAGAGGGAATCCTTCCCTCACAACACACCCACCCCGAGAAGGTCAGTGAGTCTGGGCATTTGAATCGATCTAGACCAATGGCCATACACACACGAGGGCAAATGGGCTGGGGCTAGAGGTTAGGCTCCTGCAGCGGGGTGGGGTTCTATGATTTGGAGACAAACTGCATTTTGCTGACTGTGCCGTGGAGTGACTGTGAGCTCCATCTCACCTGTCTTAGTTTGCTCTTAGAGCCACCATAACAAAGTACCAAAAGCTGGGTGACTGAAACACCGGAAATGTATTTTCTCTTAGTTCTGAAGGTTACAAAGTCTAAGACCAAAGTATGTGGAGGGCTTATTCCCCCAAGGATCATAAGGGAGAAATGTTCCAGGCATCTGTCCTGGCTTCTGGGAGATTTCTGGCCATCCTTTCCTTTCCTTAGCTTCTAAAGCATCTCCCCCATCTCTGCCTGTCTTCACATGGCATTCTCCTCGGGTGCATGTCTGTGTCTGTGTCCAAATTTCTCCTTTCTATAAGGACAATAGTCTTATTGAATTTGAGCCAGTGATTTAAGATTAAAAGCCTTATGCCCATGTAAGGTTACCTTCTGAGGTACTGGGAATCCAGACTTCAGTGGCAGGGGCATAATTCAACTTATAACGCCCTATCAGTTCCTACTCCAAATTCCTCTCAGAGAAGCTAAAGAGAACGTGAGGCATATGTGAGACCCAGCATCTCCACAATGGCAGGGCCTGGGTGCAACCCAGCAGGTTTTTTTTTTTTTTCTTTTTTGTCTTTTTCCTTTTTATTGGTACTGGGGATTGAACTCACGACTGCCTGCTTCCAAGGCAGGCGCTTATGCCGCTGAGCTAAACCTCCAGCCCCTACCCAGCAGGTTTACATCTCACCTTCCTCTGCTCCCTTCCTCCTCCCAGCAGCCTGTTCCTGACCATTACCAAAGCCCAGGCCTAAGCTCTCAGTCACAGACCCTCTATGGACCACTGTATCTCCTGCATCCCTCCCATCATGCTCACTTGATGATGGTTCTTTCCATTCTCCAGGCTTCCATTTCCCCATTGAGAAATCAAAAGGTTGAGTATAAATCAGGGGCATTAGGTATGAGGATCACTGCATAGGGATTTGTCGCTAATCATTGGTTTGAAGTTGATGAGTGATACAACTATTTTTCATGAATGAGAGGACATTCAAGGTTATTGCTGTAAAAAGATCAATTCCAGTCACTTGAATCTGCATTGCCTTCCTGAGTAGGAAAGAGGCATGGGGTTACACGGAGTGCACTGGGAATTTTGCATAGCCTAAGGTCATCTTATCTGTGACTCATGGGAGCATGTGAATGTTGTGGACTGCACATAAACAAGGCAGAGAGTTGCTGGGCTCTGGGTGATGTCAACACTTCCCAGTCTAATGCTCTGGGTCATGAGTGCTTGGGTCATCTTTTGGTTCTGCCTCTGACCGCCAGTGCCTTGGCTGGGGGACTTCTATTTCCTCTTCACACCAACCTCAGCCTGTATCTTGCAGGAAGAGGTGTCCATCGCAGAATTACCCAAGCATCTTTTTCTCCCTTTAAGTGTCCCTTGTAAACCTTGGTTCTGATGCCAGGAAGCTACATGACACTCAGCTCTCTCCTGTCCTTCAGGACACTACAGCCACATACAGATGGCCATTGGAAGTGGCTCTCTTCCCTTTCCTCCAGATGACCCCCAAAGTCTCTGGCCAACCTACAGTTCTGTTTTCCTTCTAACATGAGCCACCCCTGTGTGCAAGATGTGATAGCACAGATGATCAGAAGGCAGATGATCGCCTGTTCCCCAAAACTTCTACCTCTTTTAATCTAAGCTAGGACTATACCAACTTTTTCTGTTTGCTTCTTTTTTTTATAAATGGATTTTTTTTCAGATTTTAAAGGCAATACATGATCATTGTAGACAAAAGATTCTACTATCCAGGGGTAACAACTGTTAAAAGTCATTTCTTCTAGCATTTTTCCATGCATATATTTAAATAAAATCTGAGTAATAGAATAGAATCTGCAATGTTGTGTTCTGTTTCTTTCATTTTACATTAAATCACAAGTCTTTCCCCCACATTATTATCTGTGGAAACATCACTTAGTTGCCACATAATAAGGCTTTTGATTAGCTTTTTTGGAGAGGGGTTGAGACAGGGTCTTGGTGGCCTTGAACTCTCAGTGATCCTCCTGCCTCAGCCTCCCAAGGGCTAGAATTACAGGTGTGAAGCACCACACCCAGCCTATCATTAGCTTCTCAACCATGACCCCAATACTGAATTTTTAAAATGCTTACAACTAGTGAATGCTTACAACTATAATAAACTGTACTTTGATGAAGATGCCTGTACATAAATGTTTTCCAAATGTCTATTTCCTTAAAATAATGATATTCCAAGAACTAAAATTACTGGGTCAAAAGGTATGAAATTTTAAATTAGAAATTTAGGGACTTTTTATCTGATTATGAAAGTGATTCATTGTAGAAATTCAGAAACATAGAAAAATGTAAGACAGTTACAAGAAATGAAAGTATGGTACCAACTGCCTCCAAGTGGGGTGGAGGTGGAGCTGTACAAAAGAGCTAACCCTAAACAGCTCCCCTCCATCCTAGCAGAGGTGGCCACCCCTCCCCACCCTGTGGAAGGACAGAAATGATTCTCTGGAGAAGAGAAAACAAAGTTTCAGAACGGGGAAACATGAGCATCAGAGTAAGAGTTTGGGAAAAATACAGAGGAATTGAGAGTTTACACACTGAATGATGAGACTGCAGTGCTCCCAGCCCACTTGAGCTCAAGAACACTGGTCACTGAACAAAGCTAGAGAAAGAAGCTGATCCAGCCTGGAGGTCCTCCACATCTTCCTTGAGGAGGTGAACTATAAATCCCAAAAGGTAAGGACAGTCTGGGAAGACCTGGGGAACAGCATTCCAGGAGAAAGCATAGCATTTTAAAAGGCTCTGAAGAAGAAAGGGGTTTGAAATGCATGTTGCCCAGGGTGGTTTGTGGCTTGTTTGGTGTTTTGTTTTGTTTCAGACACTATGTAGCTCAGGCTGGCCTTGAACTCTCAGCAATCCTCCTGCCTCAGTCTCCTGAGGGCTGGGATTACAGATGTGCACCACCATACCTGGCTTGCTCAAGGTAATTTTGATTTGTATTGCCAAATTGTTTTCCAGTAAAAAAAAAAAAAAGTATATATTCAATAGAATCCTATGAAAGTGCTCATTTCAAGGCACTCAAAACCAAAATTTTCTTTTGTTTTTTAATTATTAAATAAGCACGAAAAATGGTGTCACCTTTCAATAGGTAAGCCCTTGATTACTAATGGGAGTAGATAGTTGAACATATACTTCTTCGGTCAGCTGTATATTTCTTCTGCAATTTTTGGGCTCATTCTCCTATCAGGTTGTAGTGTTTTCAGACCAATTTGTAAGCCCTTTACAGAAACAGTGCTATGGGATGAATGTTTGCATCATCTCTGCTTCACATGCTGAAACTGTAACACCCAAAGGGATGGTATTATGGTATTAGGAGGTAGGGTTTTTGGAAGGTGAGTAGATCATAAAAATAGATCCTTCTTGAATGGGAATGGTGCCTTTATAAAACAAGGTCTGAGAAGCCAAGACTGATGGAACATGCCTATAAACCCAGTACTCTGGAGGCTGAAGCAGGAAAATTTCTGCAAATTTGAGATCAACCTGGGCTACAAAGTGAGCTCAAGGCCAGCCTGAACTCTATAGCGAGACCTTGTCTCAAAAAGACACACACACAAAATCTGAGACCTCCCATCATGTCAGGACAGCCAAAACAAGCCATCTAAAAGAAATAGGCCCTCACTAGCCGCTGAGTTTATCAGTGTCTTGATCTAGTAATTTCTAGCCTCCAGAACAAAAGAAAGAAGGAAAGAAGGAAGGAAGGAAGGAAGGAAGGAAGGAAGGAAGGAAGGAAGGAAGGAAGGAAGAAAGGAAGAAAGGAAGGAAAGAAG